TATAATATAGACAATTGATAATTTAATTGAATATATAACCATATTATTCTATCAATTCAAACAAAATAGTTATCGTTAACATACATTACTATACAATTTTCTTAAATATAGTATAATTTGGTAATTACCATCGTGTGCAATTACCAAATTTTACAGTACATTAATTACTCATAAAAAAAAACTAACTAAACACAGCATTAGGATTTGGAGGGGGGGAACGTGTTTTTCTTTTAAGTTATGATACCATGTGAAAAAATATGTATTATTGAATTAGAGGGTCATACAGAGCCTTGGAGGTCGCTAAAAAGAGAAAACATAGAGAAGATAATGATAGGAAGGGTGTTGATGGGGCTGGTGAAGGCATGTGGGAGCTGCTTCGGAAGCTCCAGATTGATTAAGAAGAAAAAACAATTAATTAAAACGTATATAGGAGTTGGCATATTCCTGCCCGTGGATTTGATGACTAGAAAAGTGAAAAGAGAGGGGGGGCCTGAAAGAAAGAAGGAAGATACCTTAAAAATGCTTAAAAGTGTGCATGTAGATACATATATTAATGTCCAAAGAAAAAAGTGGAGGGGTGTTAAAAAGGAAAATTCTTGGAGTTGGATTTGAAATTTGATTTGGGCCTTTTGTTTATCCTTCTTGCACAAATGCCCAGGCTCAAAATTGGTTAGGTGCATAATCTAACTACCTTGATATCCCTTGAAGAAGACATTGAGGTTTTGGATTTTGGATAAGGAAAGTTGTAATATCTCGATCTGGCATGAAGATAAACAATCTTGGACCTTGTTCAGAAATGTGAAATTGTCAAAAAAAAAAAACAAAACAGGGATCCACAGAGCATCATCAAATGGGATCCACGTGTACATGTATATAGAGTTTGTATATATACGTTTATATAAAGGCATTGTATAGAATGAAGGTTGGTAGAGAAAAACTTATATGTGCATAAATGTTTAAAAATTAATATGCAAATTATAATTTATTTTATTTGTTAGTGTAAATTTAAATAGAGTTTATCTTTTAATTAGATTTGATTTATGTTTCTCTTTTAAATATCATGTAATTAGTGAGAGTTTATCTTTTAAAATATTTGGTTTATATTTATTTTTTAGATAATGGTATCTTATTTTTAAAAAATTAATTTATATGTAAACTTATTTAAAATATGCATTAAGTTGTTAATTTTGTAGAGTTAATGAAAATTCGAGTGTTCTTCACTTACAAAAACTATAACAATAAATACTTTCTTTTGTATTAAAAAAAAAAAAACAACCAAAACAAAAGAAAACCCTTACTGATGTTTCTTTAAACAGCAGCCTCTCTATCTTCTTTGCTTCTTCATCTTCATTCTTGCTTGTAGCTTTAGATCACTCTTCACGATCTTTCTTAGATAAATCTAATAAATATATCAAATACTAAAGATATCACCTGTGTGTATTTAACTTTTAGTCTGGAATGCAAGTTGAAATTGCAGGTGCAGTTGCAGACCAGGCAACAAAGACTACCAAGATTTACGAGTATAGCTAGACTCTAATTTGGAATGAAGAATTCACATTTTCGTTGACTGCTCCTGAATTTGCTTTACTTTTTATTGAAATTCATCAATCCAATTTGCCAAAGACTGTTAATCTCAGGGTCCAAAATTGGTTGCCTGTATCTGAATTGAAGAAAGGCATTCATACATCTCTGTAATAGGAAGAGACATACGTACCCCTCAGCAAGGTTTCTTATGCGCTTTGAGTTCGAGTTTGCATCGTGAGAGCATCTTTGTTGATGTTTTTATATTTTTCTGCTATTTTCTCTTTGTCAATCACATGAATATTTCTTCCTTTCTCTGTGTTCAAAACAAATGAAATTTATTTAGACTATTTTATATTTTATTAAAATTGATAAAATTCGAAATATTTTATTTTAATTTTATTTAAAAATTATTAAGGAGAAATTAAAACGAATTTTATAATTAAATTAAATCTAAATTTTTAAATAATAATTTTACCATTATAAAATTTATCTATTAAACTTAAATTTTTTTTAACTGCGTTATTTTTGACATATCAAAAAATATTTTATACTTTTTTTATCGTATTATTAAAAATTTAAGCATATTTTTATTTTTATTAAAAAAAATATAATAGCTAACATAATTATTTTAAATTTATATATAATAGATACTGTATTTATTCTTCCAAAAGTGACTGGAAAATTGTCAACATCTATCTATTGGCTTCAGAAAAACAAAAAATGCGGACCATTTAGGGTTCTATTTGTACTTCACCTGAAAGTAACTTCGGAATATATAGGGAATTCGTTTAATGATAAAACAACGAAAAAAAGCGACTTTACAACAAACAAATTCGAATAATATATATACATATATTTCTAATTCAATTTGCAGATTTGAAGCTAATGACTGTAAGTAATTTAGCTACTTAAATGTGAATCACATGCAGTTAGATGATTATAGTGAAAGATTTTCTGGGTAATCTGTAGTGATAAATATGTCTTATATTTAAATTAGACTATAACTCTACATTTTTACATCTTATAATATGTCTTATATTTAAATTGTATTATATCATATGTGTAGGATGCTCTAGATATCATACATATATATATAAACTAATATTCAAAAGTTGACTTTATTCATTACATGAAAAACTATTTATAATATTATAAGACATAAAAGATTTAGAAATCTAATTTAAATAAAAATATAGAGTTATAATCAAAATAAACCTTATGGTATAGAATATTAATGGCAGAAAAATTATAATATTAATGACAGACACAGATTATGTTATATATATATATATATATATATATATATATATATATGATATATTTATCCCTTTAATCTCAAAGTAGCTTAGAGAATTCATGAAGCAAGAACCCCTACCAGCAGTCTAAACATCATTCAAGTTACATTTTATATATTACGTATATGTAATCTATATGTAATATCACGATCTACCACCTGCAGGCAAACAATAAAATAAAAAATAAAAGTGATTCCCTTGACTAAGTAGACTTCAATATGATTTTCATTTCTGCCTATAAAAGATATGAGAAAGAATTGAATACATACATATACACAAGGGATTGGTGATTAAACAAAGTATACATATAAAGGGGAGCTAAGTTGATTATAAAAATGGAAGATCATATCACAAAATGCAAAAATTGGAATATGTTATTAAAATTAAGCAAGGATCATGGAGATTTGAAAACGGGGCTTTACTAGTAAGTTAATTAAGATCACTGAACAAGCGCCACCAAGCGATTTGAAGGCCGAATTTCATGAGTATACAGGTGGTGGGACCGACATGACGCCGGACCAACTAGGCTGGTTCTTGGTGGAGTTTCAGGGAAGAGATCATGTATTGGAGGCCGAAGCAGAAAAGATAATAGAACAAGTCCTGCAAAGGAGGCATCATATCGCTAGGTTCACAAGACGTAGTTTCTTCACTCTTGATGAGTTTTTCCATTATTTGTTCTCACCAAACCTCAATCCACTAGTTACTGATAAGGTAAACACATATTTTTCTCTTGTTTCTTACTCACATCTTTTGTTTAGTTGCTAAGAAAATTGTTTCCAGGTTCATCAAGACATGACTGCTCCTCTTTCTCACTATTTCATTTACATCGGACATAATTCATATTTGATTGGAAATCAACTCAGCCGCAAAAGCAACCATATACCTATCATAAATTCGTTGAACAAAGACGCAAGAGCGATAAAGCTTGATTTATGGCCAAATTGAACAAAAGATGATGTTCATGTTCTTCATGGATAGTAAGCAGCATTGTCAGTATATAATATTATATACATACATATGTGTGTATTATATATATTAACTGGTATATAATCCATTGAAGGATCTGAAATGCATGATCTTTTGTTTAGGACATTAACGTCTTTGGTGGAGCTAATCAAATACTTGAAATCCATCAAAGAACATGTTTTTACTGCATCTAGATACCCAAAAATTTTAACTCTGGAAGACCATTTGAACCCAGATCTTCAAGCAAGAGTACCTCAGGTAACTTTAAACTCGTGCATTTAGTGTTATGTTAACTAATAAAGTAAAAATTCTTGCTTGTAAATGATCATACAAACCTTCAAAGATATGGTGTTATCTTGAATCTAAAAGCCTAAAAGAATTCCCTTCCCCAGAAGATCTCAAATATAAAATTATAATATCGACTAAGCTACCAAAACTGTACCTGGAACCTAAAACTTTTAGTAAGAACAGAAAGATTATTTCCGGGAAACAAGACAATTCTTGTAAAAGTTCAGGGTTAAAGGAAATGAAAATATTGAATTATAACAACTACAAGCGGAAATAATTTAGAATTTGGGGTTTACATTCCTTACACAGTAACTTAGATGTCCAATAACGTTACAGGAATATCCCTTTTACAGCAATTTATAGTAATGGAATAAATGGTTAAAGAAAACGAAATAAAAATCCTATGAGGTTAATCTCCATTGGGCAACTCCAAGGAGGTCGGGGAGGTAAACTTTATTCGCAATCCTCCTACTGTTCAAGATTTAGATCTTAGTCTTCTTGATGTGAAATAGTTAAATAGGGAGAATAAGTTACACTAACTCAATAAAAATATCACAATTATCACATATACGGAGAATCAGAGATTGGTAAAAAATCATAAAACAACCAATGGAGTCATCTACTTTCTTAAATAAGTTCATTTAATATAAAAATCATTATTTCATACTTACTCTCGTGAGTTTTCAAAACTGACCTATGAAGATAATAACTCAAATAAAATTGTTATTTCATATCCAAATGAGTAATAATAACAACTTACCTTCTTACCTGCTTACCAGTATCTCTGAGAGCCCACAGGGATCTCCCCCTACGCGTAAACCTAATATCTAAATTATCGATTAACTGGTCGTTCCCATACCCCTCTGATAATGGGCGCCAAATATTTCACTGTCTCAATACTCTGTCCGGTATAAGTGTGAACTATACCTCCCAATCTCTTCTGGTATGAGATTTCTCAGCCCCGTTCAACTGACGTAATGTTCACAGTAGGGTTTTTCTATGTACCGAATTCATCCACATTTTTCTATGGTACCCAGTAAGTCTTTTACACATATATT